GAGCCCCTCGCGTTTCCATCCCGGCCGGGCCTTGTCGTCAGCCGCGAGGGACAGCCGTCAGCCGGTGGTTCTGCCCTGTCCTGGCCCCGGGCTTGCTCACAGAGGGAGGCGGTAAAGCCCGAGAATTTGGGGGCCGGCACAGGCGCGGAGCGGATGGGGTCCGGGAGGGCGAAGCGGCCGGTGCGCGGGGTTGTCACGGTACCTGTTGCCTGAATGCAGGGCCACACCCGTTGCATGTGTTTTCGGAGCTGCTGGAAGAAAACAGTGGGCTGGGACTGAGATGCACGGGCTGCCATGCTGGCAGAGGTTGCTGATGAGGCCCACCTGCCTTGTTAATGTCTTCCTGTAAGTTAATAACACTTGTTTCTCCCCGAACTTGATAAAAAATGCATCCTTTCAGAAGACAGTCTCACTTTGAAGGCTCCAAACAATACCAGCTCTAGGCTTGACTTAGTAAGTCAGTCCAGCATTAATCTCCGAACACTAAGATGTGTTATGTGCTACTTCAAAGCTGAATTGTCAAACTAAAGCCTACAGCCAGCTGTTCTTACCAGTGCTTTCACTGTCTAGTCTTATCATGTTTCAAAAACTTGTGGGTTGTTTTGGGTATGTTAGGTTGCATATGTCATTGTTATGCCATAGTCTGCTGAAGTATGACTATTTACAAGATTGAGTTTGCTCTCTGGCAAGGAGAGTAATTTTTACAGGATTTTTTTTTGTCTGGATATTCACATCTTCCAGAAGTATTCCATGTAGTTGTCATTAAGAAGTGTTTTCCATGTTTTTCTTTAGATTGTGGAAAACAGTGTGCAGAAGCCTTTGTGGGGAGGACTCATAGAGAAGTAGACTGCTAGGTGTTTTGAAAAAAGAATTTCTCATAAAGCAATATGCTCATTGGTTTATCTGCTTTTATTTGGGCACAGTCTTCATGAGGAGCTTTCTGCATGTGATGTTCTTGTGATGATGTGTGTTTTCTTTGTTGCTTTTGAGCAGAGGATGCCAACAGACAACAGCCACCTGCCAGACAGTATCGAAGAGCAAGACCCTGCTACTACTACAAGCAATAATTGCCTGCATAATGATGAGGAATCGGGAGCTGAAGAAGAAAATGGCGTTTGTAACAGTGACCTGGATAACTCTGCCAGCCAGTTATGCACTTCTGTGGCTGTTCCTTTGGAGGTGCCTAGGAGGGGACAACCCCTTCTACAGATCAACAGGCAGCAAATTCAGTCCATCTCACATAGTGCACAGGCTGCTGAGCTCAAAGGTTTAGGAGTTGATGTCTATGACCAGGATGTATTGGAGCAAGGAGTTCTTCAGCAAGTAGATAATGCAATTAATGAAGCTAATAAAGCAGCAAAAGTAGCTGATGCGGAAAAAGAATATCGGTCAGTGCTGGATGACTTAAGGTAAATTTTATGTTCTTTCTTGCTGTTCCTTTCTGTTACTGACTATCTAATAATGCTTGGTGTCGCATGTTTTTAAAAGCTGCAAGATGAGAAGGTGTTTTGAAAGCATGAGATTACATGTACTCTTCTGAGTCACCCACCTTTTAATAAAGGAGAAAATATTTTTCACGTAAGAGCAATGCTTCAGTGCTTTTATTTGACTAATTCAGTCATGCATCAAGGCAGGAGACAACAGCACATCTCCTTTTTCTGCTTTGTCTCCTGCCTTACCAAGATGCATGTCTGTGTTCTGGGCAGTGGAGAACTGCATTTTATTCTGTTATGCAAAGTTAGAACAAGCGGCACTTCTTCAATTCTGTATGCTTCCTGGGATAACCTGCTTCTGGTTCGATGCTTTCTGTAACTCGGATGACTTCATATCATGAGTGGACTACTACCAAAACAGCCTTATCGCAGAGTGCTTGTATGAAGCATTGGATGACACCTTAGAATCAAATGCTTAATTAGCGTGGTATATTGATAGTGGAAGATGTTGAGGGATAGAAGCCACAAATATTTTTGAGTTTTGATCTTGGATCTCCCTTGCTGTTTCTAGTCTTATTGTAGAATTACTGTGTGAACTGCAGGTAAATAATTCTACCTGTGCGTTTTTAATTGTATTTCATTCATGTTGGTTTTTAGTGCTCGAGAGTGCTGTAGGCATTTAGTACCTATGAACTCTCGCACAGTTCTCGTTATGCTAGATTTTATTCAGTTTGGGTATGGAGATGTGAAATAAGTTTGCAAAACTTGAACCTGATTTCAGCTGTTATGTAGCACAAGGATGTAGTGGCTAAGATGGTCATTGAGAGGAAGAATCGAGCGGCATAACCACTGCAATTAGCTTATGTGGTTATTGAAAGAGTGGTGCATGACACTGTCAGTTTATATTTTCCTGTTTTTCTTTTAAGATGCATCCTATGATTTTTCCTAGCCTGCTATTTTCACCTTCCACTTGGAGTCGTAGAGTGAGATTTGCGAGAGGGGATGCAAATAGTTTCTGCCGACCTGTAGAACCTCTTCTGTATAAGATGTAATGTGCAAGTTTGAAAGTTGATTTTGGAGAAAATTGGCAGAGATATAGCTGGCTTGTTGAGCAGAAGGACTGAAAAATGTAAAGACGTATCAGTCGAGCATGACGGAGTTGATTTCAAGGCCTGTAACATGGTGAATGCAGGACCAGAGGTAAAATCAAGACAAGTGGGTTTTGAGTTGTAGATAGCACATGGGAGAAGCTGGATGATTCTGTAATGTACACACAAATTTAAGCAGAAGGAGAATAAAAAATAGTTGAAGTTAAATCCTGTTTAAATCTCGCAGTCCTGTTAAATAAAGCTTTGTGGAAGAAGACCATAGCAGTATGTGTCAAGAGACCCTAGGGCCAAGGAAGCAAGAGCCAAATGGTAGTGCAAGAGAATGGTGTACTTCAAAGCAACAAAACCCAAGACTGAGAAGGGAGATGGGATGGCTCAAAAGTGGTGAAAGAGAATGGAGAAGTGATGATGGCAGTGGTAGCTGGGGAGCTGGTAGAGTAAGTCTATCTAGTAAAACAATGTTAGAATCCAGATTAGGCTGGAGAGAAAATTGGTCCAACAATTTCTTCCCTGACAATTGCGGAGACTAATGTAATGCTTTTCTTTCCACACAAGGGGAATAATGGCTGCTTTGCAGATGTTGTGAAGAGTTCTCTTTGACAATTGGCGTAATGTTTTGAGATAGTAATTTGTGTATCCTTATGAAATATTCTGCTATTGGAATCATTTGTTGTTTCTGACAGTGGGACAGTGCCTCCTTCCTTGCAAATTCAACAGAAAACAGATGATAATAGGTTCTAGCTTGTGGTTCAGTCAGAGAGAAATTGTAAAGGTAAAATAAATAGGTTTCCTTATAAAACTTTTAAACAAAATTTTGTGATGATATACAACTTTTTAAAGTGTTTAGTATTTACAGTGTTCTTTAAATAGAAGATACTTATTTAGAAACTTACTTTTAGACCTTTTGAAATCTTACCTTAAATCTCCTGGAATTCCTAAATTGTCTGAATTGAAAATGGGCTATTTTTCTTTCTAGAGTTGACTAGTATATTGCAATCTTCTTGTTTTTTCAGGTCATGTACAGCATCTCTGAGACAAATAAATACAATTATTGAGCAACTTGCGCCTCAAGCTGCCGACAACAAAGATGTAAACAGAAAATTAGATTCTGTAAAACGGCAAAAATATAACAAGGTGATTGGAT